ATATGAGCTGCGAAAGTTAAGGTATTGATTTTTTTTAAATGTAGATTTGCTTGATTTCTATTGACGGCAGCCCATATAAACCATGCATTCCCTATAAATATAAAAATTTTTGCTTAATGAAGAGCTAGGTGCTTGGTTTAGTATACCAAAAGCTTCATCAATTAATCTAATTTGTAAGGTTTATCTACATATAAAGTAATTGCTATACAACAAATTTCAAGGTTTGGGCGTCTGGTCTGGTATATCAAGAACTTCTTCAAAATTTGTCTAAAACTGATTTATTTTGGGCTTTATTTTGAAGTCTTTTAAAATCAGAAGCTTTAAAATAATATCTAGGAGTATTATTTTGCATCTATATAGTGCTAAACTAAAAGTTTATAAATAAAATTTAAATTTTTATAAATAACAAATATTTTTTTCTATAAATTAGATAATTCTGATTTTTTTAAATAAAATAAATAAACAGAATTTGGTTTTAGTATATTATAAAATAAAAATTTTTAAGTCTCATATAGATAAGAAATTCAATTCAATGCCATTTTTAAAAAAAAAAAATTATTGTTATATTAAAAATATTTTACGTGATATACCCAGTAAAGCCTTTACTATAAAAAACTCAAGTCAATATATATACCTTTCTTTTTTTTTTTCAGAAATTGTTCTAATTAATTACAAGCATGCCAAAATATAAAGTTTCACTTATATTAGTTGGTGAAATTATTTAAAATTTACATACTGGGCCATATGCTAAGAACTGGTGGGTTTCTCATCCAACTAATAATAATGATACAACATGTATGCTTTATTATCTAATTTGCCTTGGTATGAAAACCATAACTACTATAAACCAGCATGATTTTATAATTACTATAGTTCAGAATAACTTTGAACCAGGATACATATATAAATCTGAAGCTCTACAAAGCAATATATGTAAAAGCTTATTGGAAGCAGCTATCTCTGTATATCAGCAAGCTTTTTTTTGCAAAACCTTAATTAGATGGTCTTGAGGTTATGGGATTTAATGATCCAGAAATATGCAAAATATTACTTTTTGATATTTATTTTTGTCCTTTTACTTTTAATATTAGAAATTTATATTTGACTATTTTGGGAGTTAGTAAATCAAACAATTCTATACAAGAAAAGGATATTAAAGTTTTTTCATACATAATTTCAAACATACATATTTATTATTTTTTCAGGAATTTAGCAATAAAGAAGCAATTGTTAAAATATATCAAGGTTTTATAGAAGTGTGTATTTTTCATGATACTGACCCTAATACTGTTTGGAATAAGATTGGTATATTAAAACAATATATAGAAAACATGCTTTTTGAACTTGAACACAAACAAATGAAGTCAGCAATTAACAAAAAACATGTATTATCATGTACAGTAGAAGATTGGCAAAATAAACAGATCATAAACAAGCTTTTTAATTATCATCTTAAAAAATTTATTGCCATGTCTATAGAATGGAACAACTTTTTTATTAGC